ACAGAGAGAGACACAGCAAGAGAGGGAACACAAGCAGGGGGAGTGGGAGAGGGAGAAGCAGGCTTCCTGCTGGGCAGGGAGCCCGATGTGGGGCTCGATCCCAAGACCCTGGGATCATGACCTGAGCTGAAGGCAGATGTTTAATGACTGAGCCACCCAGGCACCGCAACAAATAAAATCTTTTAAAAAAAGTTGAAAATAGAGCTACCCTACAACCAAGCAATTGCACTACCGGGTATATACCCCAAAGATACAAATGTAGTGATCTGAAGGGGCACCTGCACCCCAATGTTTATAGCCGCAATGTCCACAATAACCAAACTATGGAAGGAGCCCAGATGTCCATCGACAGACAAATGGATAAAGAAGATGTGATACACACACACACACACACACACAGAGGAATATTTTGCAGCCATCAAAAAATGAAATCTTGCCATTTGCAACAATGTAGATGGAACTAGAGGGTAGTATGCTAAGCGAAATAATTCAAGTGGAGTAAGACAATTATCATATGATCTGACTGATATGTGGAATTTAAGAAACAAGGCAGAGGATCATAGGGGAAGAGAGGAAAAAATGAAACAAGATGAAACCAGAGAGGGAAGCAACTGAGGGTTGCTGGAGGGGAAGGGGGTGGGGGGGATAGGGAAACTGAGTGATGGACAGTGGGGAGGGTGTGTGTTGTAATGAGCAGTGGGTATTATACAAGCCTGATAAATCACAAACCTGTATCCCGAAACAAATAATACATTATATGTTAATTAAATAAAAATAAATAAATAAATTTCAATAAGAGTTGAAGAGACAGAATTTAGTCTGAGGTTTTAAAATTTGCTCACTCCTGTCTTGTTCTTACTTTAGCCAAGTATGCCTAGTTTTATATGGAGCTGAGGACTTTTCATAAGATTTCAGTCAATGTTGATACTGAATTTGGCTCAAAAAGAGAAGTAAACCAAAAGACCATAGTAATTCTTCAAGAAAAATTTATTTATTTATTTTTGTTCACCTTTGTGGAATTTTAAAGTTAAACTTTTATTCTGAAATAATTGTAGATCCACATGCAGTAGTTGCAAATAATATAGGGAGATCTTATGTACTTTTTACCCTATTCCCCTCAATGGTAACATCTTAGAAAACTAGCATTCAGTATCGCAATCAGGATATTGACACTGATACAGTGAAGACATAGAACATTACCATCACCATAAAATTTTCTGATGTTGTCCTTTTTAATAGCCATATAATAGCCATATCTTCCTGCCCTTTACGTCTCCTTAACCTCTGGCAACCACTAATCTGTTCTCCATTTCTGTAATTTTGTTATATATCTAATGTTCTGTGAATGGAATAATACAGTGTATAACATTTAGAGATCAGCTTTTTTTTTCACTCAGCATAATTCTCTGGACATCTGCCCAGCTTGTTGCATTTATCAATAATTTGTTCCTTTTTATTATGTCTTATAGTATTTTTGAGTGTATCTCTTTGTTTAGCTTTTTTAATAATTTAGATATTATATTACATATACACTGGTCATCACAGTCTACTGGTGCCATCATTTTACCAGTTTGAATGAAGTATAGAAACCTTACCTCCTTCATTTACAATATAATTACCTTCCCTCATTTGCAATATAATTGTCTTAAATATTTCCTCTACATACATTTTGAGTCACATCAGATAGTGCTATACATTTTGCTTCAACTATCAAACATAATTTAGGAAACCTAAGAGGAAGAGTGTATTTATTCATGTTTTTGCTTACTGGGTTCTTTTTTCCTTCCTGATGTGCCAAAGTTCCTTCTTTTATCATTCCTTTGTTTTTTAATTTTATAGGCTCAAATTTATTCCATCTGTTTTTTTATCTGATAAGAGTTTATTATCCAGAGTATATCAAGAACTCTTACAACTCAACAACAAAAAGACAATTAACTCAATTTTTAAATATATATATACAATGGAATATTACTCAACCATCCATTTGGTTCTTATTTATATCTTCTATTCTTTGCTAAGACTTTCTCTTTGTTAGGACTTTCTATTTTGTTTTGAGTGTATTTGTGATTGCTCATTGAAACATTTTTTATTATGGCTGTTTTTTGTTAGATAATTCTAAGATTGCTATCATCTTCATATTGCCATCTGTTGAGTATACTTTTTTAGTCCGTTTTAGATTTTCCTGGTTCTTGGTATGATAACTGATTGTCAGTTGAAACCTGGATATTTGGTATGTTAAGAGATTCTAGATCTTATTTAAATCTCACGTGGTTTTCTCAGACACCAAGGGAAGGAGGGGTGCCACCTCTTTCATGCCAGGTGGGGTAGAAGTCCATCTAGGTTCTTTACTCTGGCTCCTTTGGTACTCAAGGGAGAATACTCCTTATTACTACTGAGCAGGAATGGAAGTTCCAGCTCTCTATCGATCATCACTGATATCTTCCTGGATGGGAAGCCTCCTTACTACTCTCTATCTGACCACCACTGACAACACAGAGAGAGCGGGGTGGCCTCATTTCTCCTGGAAAGTAGTGTAAATCCTTACTTTCCTCTAGGATATCACTCTAGTAGGAAGAGAGAGGGGTATCCTATTCCTGGTGGGTGGCGCTTGAAGTCCATGCTCCCCATGTGGTCTCCACTGACACCACGGGAATGTGTGCATGAGAGGGTGGCTCATTACTGCCCACAGGGATTAATGTTCCAGTTCGCTACTTACTTCTCTGATAAGTAACTGGGTGGTGAGTATTAGGATGCCTTATTCCAGCCTGGTGTATTCCAGCCTGGTAGAAGTCTACGGTCCTCACTTGTCCTTTGCTGGTGGGGTTGGGGGTGAGGGTGGGTGGGGTCAGTTTCTTCTGTGGTTCTTATTTTGTATGTTTATTTTTTAAACATTTTTTGTCTTGTGCTCGCTTCGGCAGCACATATACTAAACATTTTTTGTCTTGTTAGACTGCTCCTTTCCTGGACCTTTGGCTAAACAGCAGGCTGCTATTGTTGTTTAGGTCTGTTTTATTCATCGGTGTTTCTGGGTTGCTGACTTTTTCAGCTCCAAGTCTGGGATATTATGAGGCAAAAAGAAAACGTAGGAACCCACCACCATGTTGTTACTTGTGTCCTGAGGTTCCTAGCCCATCTACCTTCTTCTCTTCACCTTTCAGTCTTATGTTTGTTTTATATATAATATTAAAGGTTTTGTATTGTATTTAGTGAGAGGAATAGACAGGGAAAAGTGCATATACTCCACCTTCCTTGAAGGGAAGTCCTCGTAAGAATTTATTTTTAAGCATTAGGTCTTCCGGATTCCAGATGTTCTGATTGCATAATTTGTATGCTTGTTATTTGTGTGAAAGGTGCCCTTTCGTGTTGGTTTATCCCTTGAAAAATTATTGAATTTTCCTGAAATAAATGAGTTACTACTTTTCAAGTGAAACATTTAAATAGATGCTATTTTTAAAAAAACCTTTGTTTTTAAGTGGCATTTTACTTTCTAAATCAGTGTTTCTTATTCTTTTTTGGAGGGGTTGGGGGAGGTGTCAAAAGACTTGTTTGAGAATCTGATTAAAACATTATACCTTCTGCCCCCAAATTTTGCTTACCATTTATGAGGTTCATAAATAGCATATAGGGCCTGGTAAATAATCTCTATCTTATGTATTGGTAATGTGAGTTGTGAAGTTGACAAAAGACCAAGAATGGAAAAGGAAAAAAAATGTTTAGGAAATAAAGGACTCAAGACTCTTTCTATGACAGGCTGGTAGTCCTCATAGCCAAGCTCTACAAAACTCCATTTTGTCAGCTTAGGTAGAAAGATGACTTGTATGTGCTGGAAGGAACTTCTGTTAATTCCTCTTAATGCAGTCCTTAAAAATGGTGGAGTTGCTATTCCAATCTAGGTCTTCTTTACTTTAATACCTATATTTCTTATTTCTATCTTAAACAGTGTTTTCTGTCATTTATTTATTTCCAGCTAGCTATTTGAGGAATTTCCTAATCACATAGGCCATAACCCTATCTTTGGATTGTCCATAACTTGGCATGAAAAGCAACCATTATGTGAAAAAAAAGTATTGATAAGGACTGAGATTTTCTTCCTGTTGAACAAAAGATTGATGCTGGATGACTGTTGCTGAGGAAGGGTTGCTAAAGAGAGTTTTTCAGTTATTTATTGCTGTGAACACACCACCCCAAAACTTAGTAGTTTAAAACCACAACTATTAATTATTTCTCAAAATTCTCTGGATTTGTAATCTGGATGGTTTTTCTGCTGGTCTTGACTGGGATCACATGATTGCCTTTTTATGATGACTTGACTGGGGCTGGAGGCCCAAGATCTCCTCCCTAATACCTCTGGCAATTGATGTTAGCAATAAGCTGGGGCACCTGGGTCCTCCTTCAAGTGACCTCTTGTCCTCCATTTGGTGAGATTGGACTTCTTTAATGTATGGTAGTCTCAGTGTTCCAAGAGAGAGAAATATGAAAACTGTAAGGCCTCTGAAGGCCTTGTCTTTGAAGTCACATGGTATTACTTCTACTGCATTCTGCTGGTCAAAGCAAGTCACAGGGCCAGCCTAGATTCAAGCAGAAGGGAAATAGATTCCATCTCTTGATGGGAAGAGGGGCAAAGTTACACTACAAAAGGGCATATGAGATGGGAGGAATTGTGGTCATTCCTGCAAACAATCTACCGCAGGGGACAAGGAAGTATAATGCTGATGAAGTAGAGGAGGTGATTTGTGCAGAAGGTTAGTGAGTGGTAGGGTGAGCTACTGACATGAGGCCATGTGTCCTGGAACAAACTCAAGCTATGAACAGCAGCCAAAGAAAACAGTGTGAAGCATTTGGCAGGCAGACTTTCTGTGATGACTAGCTCTGGAGACTACTCGTTTTGACTTGGCCAGTGGACAGAACTTGGCTTTTTCCCCTAGAGTTTTATCCCTTTTGTAAGCAAAGGCTGAAGTCAACAGGCTATAGTTCAGTTTGGATACATAATCAGCCTGGGACAGAAAAATTTTTTTCCCATGCTAAGCACCTCATGGACTTAAAAAAATCAAATATGAAATGAAGCTGTCTGCAAAACACCTATTATGCAAACATTTTGGCTGCTAAAATAGTGTTGTAAGTCATAAAAAAATGAAGACTATAGGGTTTTTCAGAATTTTTGGTGCTTATAACCTAATGGATTAGTAGCGTTAGTTTAGTAAACTAGCTTTAAAGAGGATATGTGGATATTTCTTGATAACGCTGATGCTGTATCATCCAGTACTGCACCAGTTGGATATCTCAGGTGAGATGTGCATGTCAGGCATTCACTTCTGGAACATGAGCCGTGAGTAGATATGTGACTGTGCCTATGAGATCGAGTGTGTGCTGAATCAGCTATAGCCAGGAGAGATTAATCACCTGCCTGCATTCCAATACTCACTGTGTATCCAGTCCTGTCTTACAGAATGCCAGCTTTTCAAGTTTCGCCATTTGGGATCTCTGAGCTCTAAATATACAACCTTACTCTAACATGGTGGTAAGGAACAACCTAATGTGACTAAAACACGGCAGTGATTACTAAGAGAGATCTTTAAAAGCTACCTTATTGTTCTATATGTATTTCATTCCTTTAATTAAAATATTCAGAGAGTGTTGGCAATAGAGAAGGCACTCTCATGGAAGATAATCAAAGATAGTGTGTGAGGCTGATCTCACACATATATAAAATAGCAAAGTGATCTGAAGGATTTTAAGAAAGGAATGAACCCAGAAGAATATCCTTTCTGGATCATTTCTCATATCTGAAATTTTACCACTAGAGCAATTCTTTCTCCCTCTCCTCCTTTTCTTTCTAACAGTTTCCTGTAGCTTTCTCTGTTAAAGGGCAAATACCCCTGGTATGTTGCTATATAAGGCTTCATGAGATAGTGGACATCATATAAACCTTGATTTCTGACTCTGTCCTTACTAATGGAAAAGTTACTAAACTTCTTTTAGACTCATTGGGTTTTGTGGGGATTCAACTTTATTATATATATGTTTATACATACATATATACATACACATACATATACATATACATACATATATACACATATATATAACAGAAATTAATGGCCGTACCTATATATATATAAACCCTCATCTATCTTTCCTAAAAAATAATGGATGTTCAATAAACAGTAATTTCCTGCTTTTCTTAAACTAGCAAACTAGCAAAATACCTAGGTAGTATTTTCTTTCCCTGCTCTTTCTTGACATTAAGGCAGAGGTTTGTAACTTGGGGTCTATGGGGAGAAAACGAGGTTCTGTGAACTTGAATGAGGAACAATTATGTCTTTATTTGCATTAACCTTTAGCTGAAATTTTATGTTTCCTTCAATTAAAAATGTAAGCTACAAACCACAGCAATAATGGCAATACCAATATGAGACTTCATCAACAATAGGAATAACAATATTTTCATGTCACATTATAAAATTTACAGAAAGTTTGAAACATGATTTATATTCATGATTACTTTGAATTGATAGTTATTAAACTGCTACTAGATCTTGTTATTGAATGCATCAATAAAGACGCACACATAGATTCGGCAGCAGCCACTGAACAGACCGGACTTAACTTGCACACACACCTCGCTCCGCTTCCTCTGCAACCATGTTTGACAAACCTGATACAGCTGAGATTGAGAAATTCGATAAGTCAAAATTGAAGAAGTCAGAAACGCAAGAGAGAAATCCACTGCCTTCAAAAGAAACGACTGAACAGGAGAAGCAAGCAGGCGAATCGTAGTGATTCACAAGCATTGCCTTCTTATTTTCCTTCTTTTAGCTGTTTAACTTTGTAAGATGCAAAGTGGTTGGATCAAGTTTAAATGACTATGCTGCCCCTTTTCACATCAAAGAATCGAGAACTACTGACAACGAAGGCGCCTGCCTCTCCCATCTGCCAGTCTGGCTGGCAGGGAAGGAAAAGAACTTGCATGTTGGTGAAGGAAGAAGCTGGGTGGGACGACAGTGAAATCGAGAGTAAAAACCAAGCTGGTCCGGGGTGTCCTGCAGGCTGTAAAATGCGGTTTAATCAGAGTGTCCTTTTTTTTTGTTAAAATGATTTTAATTATTGGAATGCACAATTTTTTTAATATGCAATAAAAAGTTCTAAAACCTGGAAAAAAAAAGATGCACACATATTACTATTTCACAAATTTAGTGATTTGAAAAGTGTATTTCATTATAATTGGTTTTATTTTTAACTTTATGCATTTTATTTTATGGATTTAGAAACATTATTCTAAGAAGAGATCCATGTGCAGTAAAAGAAAAAAGTTAAAACATGTTATTTGTACTTATTCAATAGTGATGTTTGTTGTATCAACTTCTTTTGTAAGGTTTAGTCATGTGATCACTTACACTTAGGGTTTTTAATCATTAGGCTCTGGACATGACTGTTTTTTTAGTAATTTACCATTTTATTCAAAAAAGTTCACCACAGTGATTAAGTTTATTATTGAACAGCTAAAATCTTTGTGTATAGATGACATTAAACTATAGCATATCTATACAATAGAATACAAACTAGTATAAAAAGGAATGAAGAATAGTTATATATACTACTGTGGAATAACTTTCAGGATATACTGTTAATTTAAAAAAGAAAAAGAAAGGGCACCTGGGTGGCTTACTCGTTAAGCGTCTGCCTTCGGCTCAGGTCACGATCCCAGGGTCCTGGGATCAAGTCCCGCATCGGGCTCCCTGCTCGGCGAAGCCTGCTTCTCCCTTTCCCACTCCCCCTGCTTGTGTTCCCTCTCTTACTGTGTCTCTCTCTGTCAAATAAATAAATAAAATCTTAAAAAAAAAAAAAGGGGGCGCCTGGGTGACTCAGTCGTTAAGCGTCTGCCTTCGGCTCAGGTCATGATCCCAGGGTCCTGGGATCGAGCCCCACATCGGGCTCCCTGCTCAGCGGGAAGCCTGCTTCTCCCTCTCCCACTCCCCCTGCTTGTGTTCCCTCTCTCGCTGTGTCTCTCTCTGTCAAATAAATAAATAAAATCTTAAAAAAAAATCAAAGAAAAAAAAAGAGGACAAATGTGTGTAGTATTCCCTTTTATCTAAGAAAGAGGTATATAAATAAATGTATAATAAAAATATATTCTAGCTACCTTACTTTTATAAACATGACCTAAATGAAATGAGATATCCTCGATTAGGTCCTGGAACAGAAAGAGGATGTTAATGGAAAAACTAGTGAAATATGAGTAAAAGTCTGTAATTTAGTTGTTAGTGTTGTGCCAGTGTTAATTTCTCATTTTTGACAAATGCATGGTTATGTGAGATGTCAACATTGGGGAAAGCTCGATGAAGGGCATATAGACCTCTCTCTGCTATCTTTGCAACTTTTCTGAAAACTGAAAATTATTTGAAAATAAAGTTTAAGAAAAGAATAAAGAAAAATGGAAGGATAAACCAGAAATTAATAAAAATGTTTAGTGGGAAGGAAGGAAGAGATTAGAGATAGTAAGGATAGAAACTAGAAACCTCCGAACGTACATGGTTTCATAGATCGAACTCAGCCTAACCACTGAAATGTTGTATGTAATTATAAGACAGAATTAAAGAAAAAAGTCCCTAAAATCACAAGTAAAATGAAACATAATGTACCTACTTTTGCATTGCTGGCTTAGTCACATTGATTTCAAGTAATTTTAAAACAATAATTTGACTACGCACTGCTAGTGGGATATGTCCTATGGCCAAAACAAACTGCAAAAAAAAATTTAAACTGCGTTTTAAAAGATTTTATTTATTTATTTGAGAGAGAGAGAGAGAGAGAGAGAGCAAAAGTGGGGGGGAGGGGCAGAGGGAGAAGTAGATTCCCTGCTTAGCAGGGAGCCTGACCCAGGGCTCGATCCCAGGACCCCTGGATCATGGCCTGAGCCTAAGGCAGATGCTTAACTGACTGAGCCACCCAGGCGCCCAAGTACTGTTATTTTGAACCAACCTTTATATATGTGTGTGTACGTGTGTATAATATATAGTAAGATAACACTAATAAATACGTTAATGTCATTACTAAATCAGTATTTTTAGTATAAGATAAAGTGATAAAAACATAAAATCAAAGAAGTAAAAAAGCTCTGTAGTTATATATTTGAATTGGAAATACTGGTTTGAATTTTTTTTAAGAAGAATACTGGTTTGAATTTATGATGACTTTCTCATAAAAATGATCAGTGATAACATGATTTCCTAATTTATTGGTAACTAAAAACAGCAAATTAGATGGTGGTAAAAAGGAAGGTCTGCTCCTTATAGCTACTGTCAAATGAGAGGAAAAGGTATTTGGGGTAATGAGTACAGGAGGAAATCATACTTCATACTTCATCATTGAGGATGTTACAGTAAAATGAATTATATTTGTAGTCATGATTTGAATCAAGAAAAGCTCCATTTATGACCATGTCCTCTGTTGGAGAGCAGTCAAATGTTTTACTATATTAGAAAATAAATAGAACATGTTTTAGCATTAAAATGTAAGTATCAGGTGTATCAAAATTTATGTGGCTTTCTTTCTTCCCAGATGATACTGAAAAATGAGGAGTGATTATTTTGGAAACACTTCCGAATGTGAGCTAATGTCTCCTATTAATTTGCACCAGGTGATTACTTAAAGCATCTTGGTAGGAATAACAAGTGTCTGGTCTGAGTCTATAATTATGAAAGTAATTGGCTGATAAGTAGTTATGTGAATCCATGTGCCTCTCAGAATGTAAGTGCTGCTGAATAGGTCACTGCAAGATGATCAGGGCTGTCTAAATATACAGTTAATCTCCAAATGAATTTGGAGTATCTTTTCCTTTCCCCATAGTACTTTGCACTTGAGACATCACTATGCTGACTTAAAATTTTTTCAACCTAACTCCCTCTCCTTGTTTATCTCTTCATGTCTTAAAAATTACTAGCATTATAATTTGCTTTACATTTTAAACTTATGATTTATTGAGTCACTAAGTTCGGCTATCAATGGCATAGAATAGTGTTAGTTGAACTTTTCCTTAGGTGAGGTAGTCAGGCATTAATAGCTTTCTTTTTTGGTAGAACAGTGTAATTTCTTTAACTACATTTTTCTGTTTTCTGGAACTAAAAGCAGAGAAATATACTGAAATAATCACATAAGGAGAACAGGTGTTCTTATTCTTCAATAAATCAATACATTGTATAAAATGTATTAATTCATTCTCTCCTAAATATCTATATATTAAGCCCTATGCTAGATACTATAATAGATAGAGGTGGATTATAGAGAGAGAGTGCCCCTCATCACATTCTTGCTATTACTGCCATTCTTTCATACTGTCTAAAATTCATTACATGGGGGCGCCTGGGTGGCTCAGTCAGTTAAGCATCTGCCTTGGGCTCAGATCATAATCCCAGGGTCCTGGCATCAAGTCCCACATCAGGCCCTTTGCTCAGCAGGGAGCCAGCTTCTCCCTCTGCCTCTGCTTCCCACCCCCACATCCCAGACCGCCCCCCCCCCCGCCGGCCTTCTCACTCTCTCAAAAAAATAAATGAAAATCTTAAAAAAAAAATCCCTTACATAGTTATGTAAACTTTCTCAATTGCTATTCGTGTATTTTAACAAGCTTTTAAGATGCATAGATACTTGGAGTTGTTAGAGGACTGTCATTTTAGTGTTAGTAAAATCAGAGTCCTTTCCTTTTAACACCTTGCTGAAGAAAACTTCATTGAGAGAATAAACTTTTTTTTTTTTATGGGGCTCAGAGAAGAAATAGTTGATTAATTTGGCACATTAGATATGAGTAGTGGGGACATTTGGACAGCTAGAAGACAAATAAGGTCATTGGGAGTACCTAAGGAATCTAGAGTAAGGGGGAGAAAGAAGTAAGAAAAGGAAGATCCATTTCTAAGGACAAACTGCTTTTATAATGGCACGGTGGATTGGACTGACATTGTATTCTACCTCAGTCATTTCTCTTGGTGTCTCATTCCTTACTCCATCCTCTCTCCCATCTTTCCTCTTGACCTCTTTTGTTGAGGCTGTTTTTTTTGTTTGTTTGTTTTTTAGGACATATTGATCAGAATATTCTCACCCATTTCCATATCAACAAATCTGCCAGAATGTATTTTAAAAACACATGCCAAGTAATATCATTTACTTGCTTAAAATATTCCAATGGCTTCCCAGTGCACTTAGAATAAAAGTCTAACTCTATACCTCAGCCTACAAAAGTCTACTTGATCTGGCCCAAGCTTCTTCTATGACCTCATTTCCCACTGTTCTGTCCTTATGCTTCAGCCACATTTCTCGATGATTTGGATACACTGAGTATATTTCTGGTTGAAGCCTTTTGAACTTGATATTGGGTCTCTATGCCTGTTGACTCTTTTCTTAGACCTTTGTATCTCACCCACTCCCATGTCACTCTCTAAATGGAAATACCTTATTTTTTGTTTACTTGTTTTGTTTCTCCTGTCCCACTAGAATATTAACTCCATGAGGGTAGAGACTTGCTCTGTGATATTCTCCAGTATTTTCCACTGTTCATTAAAGATGTGTTGAATCAATAAACGGAGCAAATTTCATTGTGTTTTATGTTTTTTATTTTAGGGTACCACCTTCTGTAAATAGTGTCACATTTTCATTGAATTTTCTCTTAAGTAAAAGCCCAAAGCTTCAAAATAATATATAAATATATGCATAAACTGAAAAAAAACCTTTGCTTTATATTTAAGTCCCTCTAATTTGGGGGAAGTTGAGATGATAAGAGAGCACATAGCTAGCTCTCTTTTTCTTATAGTTCATATTTATGCTGAAAAGCAGAAAACATAGTCTTAAGTTCATGGGATGTGTTCTCTAGTGGTTGGTCAGTGGTAGCCAGGGAATGTCCTCTCTTATTGAATAACAAAATGAGCAAGATGAATGTCAAACCAACACTATTGCTTTTTATCATATGTTATTTTATCCTTATTATACCAACATCCTTCTCACTCTCATGTCCTCCAACTAGTTTGGAAGCTCTTTAAGGATGGAAATTCTATTTCCCAGTAGTGTCTAGCATAGTGCTAGAGGCACGGTAAATAATCAGTAATCATTTCTGGTCAAATAATAATAATAATGAAAATAACTTCAGTTTTATATAGATTTTAGCAGACTGGCAAGAAGTAACACATCTTTTCTTACAAAAACCCAGTGATGTAGAAAAACAAATATTTTCTTCCTTTTACAGTTTGAAAGACTGAGATTGCAGAGTTTACCAGAATAGCCTAGATTCATTTAGCTGGTAGTGGCTAAACTGGGACTAGGGACTCCTGGGAGAGTGTCCTGTTCCATCTAAGAACTCCCATCTCCAAATGACACATTGTTAGTGATGATGACATTGCTTAAAAATTAAAATGAGTAATTAATTTCAGGTAAGATTTAGTGAAACACTGTCCATCCTTTGATAGCAGAGTGACAATGTAAATTAAGTATTTGGAAGAGAAATCACATACAATTTACAGATACCAGAGAGACCACTGAGTATATGCGGGCATTTTGGATGGTAGAAGAGCAGATGGTTCCAGTGGGCCTTCTGAGCCTTCAGGGCATATTGTGCTTTCCAAACTTGCTTATAACCTGCTCAATGTGCCACAAAATTACCTCACTATTGGCAAGTGCAGTAGTGTCAAGCAACTTTGCTCTTCTAACAATTTTGAAAACTATGAATCTCCTTGCACATTTTTAAATTGACATCCGAAATTGTTATTATAAGAGAAATAGTTACAATGATGTAATTGCCATTGTATTGTAAACATTGACACAATTAAGACTATTGTATCACTTTTTAGAATGTGTCCAATGGCACATAAATGCAGTTTTCTACTAAAATGCAATAACTGTTTTAAAAATGCAGGAATAAGCTCTTCTTAACAGTTGGAAATTTTATATCTCTTTCTCCTAAAACTTCAATTTTTATTCCATTTTTCTCTCGGAATTCAAAATGTCACTAGCCTTATTCTTAATGTTGTTTATGGACCACTTATTATATACCTTTAAAAAAGATATGTATTCATTATATGATAATAAATTAATGTTAAAAACTAATTTCCTGTGACCATAAGGCACAAAGTATTTAAAAACATTATTCTGGATTGCATTATCACTACAAGTATTCTCAGTGCATGGTTAATAAAAAGAAGATAATATATATTAAAATTGTTGATAATTATTGACAAAGAAAGCAAATTTTTATTAGAAATACCCTTACTAATATGATACATAGGGCATGTCTTTTCCCACCCAGTTCATGTATCTATGGGCACTGTTTGTTGCTTGGATGAAACAGGATTTGACATTAATTTTATTTGTATTTTTCAAGATTTTATTTATTTATTTGAGAGAGAGCAAATGAAAGAGAGAGAGAGAGAGCATGAGCAGGGGGGAGCGGCAGAGGGAGAGGGATAAGCAAACTCCCCGCTGAGTAGGGAACCTGATGCAGGGCTAGATCCCAGGACCCTGGGATCATGACCTGAGCTGAAGGCAGATGCTTAACCCACTGAGCCACCCAGATGCCCCTATTTCTATTTTTAAATACATAAATACTGATAAATCTTGTTCATACAAATAAATATATGAGAATGGAAGAAGTTTGTTGTAGCAGTATTAGTGTGAAATTATAGAAATATTCACTCAGTTCTTTGATTTTTTTTTTCTGTAGTAAATGCCAAAATTCACATGATGTACTTTCATCAAGATTAATTTTAATGATCTATCAGCTGACAAGTTGATTTTGGTCTTCCAATTTTGCCAAAAGCAAAGAATTTACAACTACACGATTTACGAAAGGTTTTGCTACACTGTCATTAGAATAATTCATTTTCTTAGTACTGATGCAGATATTTGAAAAAGTTTCTTCATTTGGTGTCCCAGAAGTTTTGACATTTGTGGGTCATGAACCATGAGCTGGTAAAAGATTCTGGCTGGATAAAAACTTCTGTCTGTCGTTTGTAAAGAGGCAGGAGATTGTGACAGAGCACTACAGGCATATTCTCAGGCAGATCAGTTTTACTAAACAGAATGTATGGAAATTGAGAGTTTGGGAATGTAATTATCTGTAAAGCCATTTGAACACGACTGGATTAATGGACCAACTGTGGGAGCTGAATGAAACACTCTGATAAACACAATCAGGAAAAGGATGATCACAATCTGCCACCATTCACATTTTCTTAATTATCGTTAATTGTCCCAGTGTAGAGGAAAGCTCCCAAAATGGCCAAATACAATGGTTTTTCATTGATATCTCAGAAAATTGCTAAGTCAGTAGGAGAAAATAAGACATGTCTTCAACTATTGTCATTTGGAGATGTTTTGCTTATTTTTTGAAACTAGAAATCTAGTGTTTGCTGAAGGCAAAAGGGTTTGCATTTTTTGCAGGGATAAATAATATGAGGTGGCAAGATTATGAGATAGGCAATGTTGATTTTTGGTGATTTCACACATCTTCCTTCAGCATATGTTTTTCTTTTCTCAGATTCTTCAGTTCAACTCTTGAGTTGCTACAATGATCCACCCACCCCCAACCCTTAACCCTGTCTCCACGCAACTGAATTTTAAGGGGAAATTCTTGGAGAGCCTAAAACCTTCAAGACACAAAGAATGCAAGATAGAGAATAGTGACAGGCAGTTCTTTGTAGTAAAATGTCACTGCCTCAAACATATTTCATAGATAATGCTACTTATTTCTTTCTTCCATGGGCAGCTCTGTGAGACCGGGGAGGATAAGGGGCAATGTAGTTCTGTGTGCTGGACCAGTGCATATTCTGTAGGCCAAGTAGTATTTTTGTAAGCCAAATGGCCTCTTTAGATTGATTTCCAAGACTGGGTTATTTAGATCAGATTCACGAGATACAAATATTGCATATCATATGAAACTGAAGACCATGACCAGATACTGACCTCCCAGAATGTGGTACCAAAAGATTAACAAATGGATGAAATTTGGGTTTCTGACATCAATTTGGCTTTTAAAAAGGAGTTGTAAGCATTGGTAGTGATAAGTAGGCAAAATACTGTTGCATGTAAGTCTAAATAAACAAAATGATAGGAGCAGACTGAATATAAATAGATGAAAGTTTTCTTTAGGGCTAAGATAAAGCACAGAGCAAAGCAGGATCTTCATTTATGATTATAGCATTTGGTTTGGGTTCATTGCCCTTGAGAAGAATAAGTAAATCTGTGTATTTTCATAAATCTTCCATGCTGTTTTATTTTTAATGAAAGCCTGTACATCAGTTTAAAAAGAAATAGTATTCTTGAGTCTCTATAGCTCCCCACTTCTGTAGTTAACAAGCCACTACCCTATAATTTCTTTTAATGGAGCCAGGATTTTGTTAAAGAAACAAAACCATTCTGAACAAGTCTATAAGAAGATGTTAAGCTGTTGTGTTTTATATTCCAAGGAAAGTTCTTCCAGCACAGTAAGCTGTAGCCATCATGATAAACCTGTGAGCCGGTCATCAGAGTATTTCTATATTGCTCATGAAGTCTTAGTATATTTTATATCCTGTACAGTGTATGAGATAAATCAAAATTAAATCTTACAACAGGTATGTTCCTCTACGGGCTTATTCCAGAGTAACCCCCTTAAAGCATGTCATTTATACATAGATCATAGAACTTCTGCATTTATAGGACCTGAGGAGATCTTTAGTCTATTTTTCAAAAAGATTTAGAGATCTAGAGATTTGTCAAAGACTGCATCATGAGTTTGTTCCAGAGCTATGACTGAGCTTAAATCTCCTGACTCCCAATTCAGTACTCTTCCCGCTATTCCAGTTGGCCTCCTGAGACAGGCCACTGGCCATGTGTGCACACACACAGGAGGTACCAGAAAAGCAGGAAATAATAGTTAAAGACCTTTCACTTGTCTTTCCAGAGCCTGTCGGAGAGTATTTGACTCCAACCATTGAATCAAAGTAAAGTCTTTAGAAACATCAGGGTATTTATTCTTTACACCAATGACCAGATTTAGACTTGTCTGAGATTTAGGATGTTTGGTGAATTATAACATCAATGATATTTCCCCTTATATTTTAAAAGAGATATGTCAAAGAAATGCTGGGATGTGGCAGAAATCCACTGGTTAGGATCCAAGTATAGAGACAAACAAAGCAACTCTGAATGAGCTGAATTTGTTTGCTTTGACATTTACAACCTTAAAAACTCTATTTATACCAGAAGATGCTCTGTTTGAAGTTAGGTGAGAATTTTGGAGCTCTAACTGCATGTCTTCTCATTTGCTCTGTGTAGCTTCCCCTTCAGAGATCTCTGGGCTTCTATAAAAACACCACTTGGAAACCACTGGGCTAGTAAGTTGACTTTCAAAGAAATCTGCTTAAAAGTACAGAAATATCACTTTATTCCTATATTCTTTCTTTAACTCAACAAATATTTACAGGGGCACCTGGGTGGCTCAGTTGGTTGAGCGACTGCCTTCGGCTCAGGTCATGATCCTGGAGTCCCTGGATTGAGTACCGCATCGGGCTCCCTGCTCAGCGGGGGGCCTGCTTCTCCTTCTGACCCTCTTCTCTCTTGTGCTGTCTCTCATTCTCTCTCTCAAATAAATAAATAAAATCTTTAAAAAAAATATTTACATAGAGTGGTATTTTATACCAATTTATGATGTGATATTTTTCAATCTTGGGATAATTAATATTAATTATTAATATCAATATTAATATTGAGCTGGTTCCTCAATAACAGTTCTTTTTACATATCAGTTATTGGATAGCAGAGTAGACTTTACCAAGTGTTTTCATATATGTGACTCACCTTGATCTTTATAACAATACTGCAAAACATATTTTAAATATTCATTTCACAGGTGAGGCAGCTGAGCCTCAGAAAAATTAAGTGACTTGTCCAAGGCCACATAGCTAAGGTCCAGAAACCTGCATCTCAACCTAAGGCTTCTGACCACATGTCTAGGCTTTTTGGACAGTTTTCTATAATGGGGAATTAACTACATGAGTTTGCCCTTTGTCTTGGTACAATTTGTGAAATTGCTAGTATAATCTGCAGTCAAGAAATTAATTAAATCCAAATTTGGTTTAGAAAGTGCTGAAAAGCATGACTTTCATTCCCACTGGACCTCACTAACTAAGCTAATTTACAATAGAGAATTAAAATCTCCATGGTGATTATAACTGAAGCTTAAACATGTTTATTTGTAACTTGGAATCCTAGATTGTTTTCATTAGTATTTGCTTCAAGATTCGTGTTTCTTATTGAAGCATATTAGTGTCTGTGGGTCCTATAATCAGAGCCATCTCTAGATATTGAAGAGATTTTCCCTAAATTTCCCTCTCTATTCTTTGTGCACTGGTGGGAGGGTAATGACTCAAGGAGGTAGGTGATAGGGATGTCATCCTGCCTGCAGATGCACAAAAGACCTACAGTTGTGTGAACATAAATAATCCACAGGTTCATTGTTTCATGCCAAAAGGGACAGAATTTCTCTCATTTCACTCTTAAACTGCCCTTTTATTACATCATTTTAAAATTCATCACTGTGTGTGTGTCCATTTTCATCAAACTTTACTTCATCAAAGTAACAGATTTAGAAATAGAAAAGTAAGTGTACACTTATTTTTCTTCTCAAGCCCTGTCCCTCTTGGGGGAAAAGTTGTTGCTGAGAGGCACCAGCATGAGTCTTTTGTTTTCACAGATTGTATAGCTGTGCACTGTACCTATATACTGAGCAAAAAGAGTAGCACACAACACAAAACCAGTCATCTGGTGGGCAAAGAAGAATCAAGAGCGGGTGAAAGTGGCAGTGAGATTTTGGCTGTTTCTTTTTAAGACCATGTCTTGTCTGCCTAAAATATGAGATTGGAGAATTTCTGGCTCCAGTGTATAAGTCTGACGAGATTTGGGGAATCCTTTCCATTTGGGGAATCATTTTGACCTGATAGGCAGCTACATAACTTGTCTTATTTGGCTGGGAGTTCATTCATCTCCCCTCATTTTCTTACCATATGTTGGAATTTGAAAATATTTGACATGGTTAGATCTCCAGGGTCTCTCCCATGTGAATTCATAATTAGCACCTGAGTTTTCAACCCTGGAGATCAGTTGATATCAGCCAAGGTCTCCTGAGGCCACTGCAGACCTTACACCCAGATAGTATTTCAGCCATGTATTTAGACTTTATTTCCTTTCTTAGTTCTCCTTGATGTTTAAGGCCAGTGAGATGCCACCACCATGGCAGTTTCCTCAGGTTCGCCTCTCCAGGTGTTCAGAAAAGTGTGTTCAGTGCTATATTTGAACATTATCCAAATACATATATATATTTTTTCTCCCCAGGCCAGCCTACAAGCATTTTAGCTATATTTTCTGCACATATTTTTGAGGAGATTTTGACAAGAGAAAACCGGTTTGGTTTTTGCATTGAATTTATTGCCTTTCTCATTAAGCAGTAGTAAGAATAAAGTCTCATAGTTTTCATCTGTGCAGTGGCTGGTGCAGCTTTCGATGTTTTCTAGTTTATGGGGTTGTGAGGAGTGGCATAATAGAATTAGAATGGTTAGGTAGTTAGATTGAGATACAATTATGAACAACAGTGTGTATAAGCTTTACAGTTCTCATCACCCTCATTCAACCCACTCTGTAGGCAAAGCAAAGTACCATCTCTATTTATACTTATAAATTGTTTAGTCAGGATTTGAATCCAGGTCTGGTAACTCCAAATTCTGTCTTTTCAATATGCCATTTTGGCCAAGGCCCTACTAAAGTGAAAAGTGAGTAGGACCTCTTACCTGATAAACTGTACAATTTTTCTTTCTGAGAACTACAAATATTTTGAGATGTACTATGTATTAACTTTGTATTCTCAACAGTTTTTAGCATAATGCTAAACTTACAGTAGATGGCCAATCATTGAATTGAATTGAATTTATATATAAGTATTCTTAACTTCTCTTGAATGAAAGTCTTAGCTAGGACTTTCTGCTTTTGTAATCTGCATTTCAGTTCATTCCAGTCTATTGTACCTTTACAAGTGTTACTCTGTGTTAGAATTTCACTCCCAGATCCTAAACTTCAGCTCTCCTGCTCTCTAATAAGACTCTCCTTTGCACATAGTAGAGGATTCCTTCTCAAATGCATTTATGTAGAACTTATCCCACACATCTGTTTTTTTTTTTTTTCCTCTCTCCGTATTCTCCACTCCAAACAAAATCTAGACAAAGAAAATTGTGCCTTGTCTTGGCAAATGGTCTTTGTTATCAGGCTTCATTTCTTGAAACACCAATACAAGGAATAGACACTTGGGTCTTCCTGTGAAGACTTTGGAGTGACTATATCCTCTTTCTCACACTTGCTCTTGGCTAGGGAGATGATGACATTTTTTTCTCCAGTGGTCTTTATTTTTTACCTCTACTTGAAGTTGGCAAAAAAGGAAACTATATGGTTGATCTGGAAAGAAAATTAGAGATCATTTGATGCTGACCTGATGTTAACTGAGGACAGGGCTGAATTTAAGCAGCAGAACTGGCTTACACTGATTACTCTTCACTTTCCAGCCTTTGAATTGTGTTGACATTCACAAGAGCTGTGTGGGGCCAATTTTGTGTCAGAAAATCTTAATTTTCTTAATTAAAAAAAATGTATGGAGATACATCTATGGAAATAATTATATGACTGATGGCTCACCTTCCTCACTATACTGTGGGAGAGCAGTCCTAAAGGATAAGCTGCATTAGTCATCACTGGAAAAGCCTGTTATACCCTGCCCTGTGTTGGAGAGGCCCCTGCTGTGTGCTCTGCCCATATCAAATGTTCCTAGGAGGAATCCACCATTTCTCTTGGAAGCCCTTCCAATTCTGTGTCCATCACAACTTTTTCCAGACAGAGAGGCTTGTTTTTTTGCAGCTGTGTTGGGCCAGATGGTCCCATGGGGTCTTTCTTGTAGGCTCATCCCCATCATGTCTGATTATGTGCAGGCCACAGACCTGTGATTTGGACTGGGAGAAGAAAACAGAAAATGTTGTTAGTTAGCTTAAAGATTCATGTTTTAGTGTTATATTTTTGCTCTTAGTTAAGCCTCCAGGATCCCTGTCACTTGTTCCTTACAGATAATAGATATCAAACATAAGGGCATCTAGCTCTACTTTTTATCAACACTTATTTCCACAGTGACAAACTCGTACCTCAAAGACCCAGTCCTAAGTCCTCACCACTGTGGTTACATCATCATGGGGATCCAGTGTCATAAGTGACATGAGACATTCACTTGACCAGTATACCAAATGTTCTTGGCCTCATTTTTGAGCAGTGCTCAAAATCATCTATAATTTTCTGGCTGCTGTCATTCCTGGGTCTCTGCTTTCCATAACTTCTCATTCCTATTGAACAGCTGTGCTTCTGATTAGTTTTCTCTAGAGGTATTAACTTTTCAGCACTCTGCACAAGGAGACTTTTGAAATAATGGGAACAATGGGCCCATCCTTGCTGTGTTAAAGCCAGTTAGTCTGCTGTGGTTCAGAAAATTTCTGGAAGAGATCTGAAACTAAACAAAAATAAGAATTCACTTAGACTTTCTTAAAACAAATCTGGGTATTGGCATCATGAAAATTGTGATTATCCATTTGGAGTATGAAATAATCTCATATTTACTTGTATATATTTCTTTTGTCTATTTTTCATATATTTTGAGAAACAAATATTTACTTATCAGTAACACATGCCAGTTCTCTGAAGATTTGAGTGGAGAACCCTAGCTGCTGAAGGTAACTGTATATAACCACTTTTGAAATATTTTCCTGGACCATAAAATTTAAGTCAGATTCCATTGTTACACACACACTCTCTTTGAATGGCATTTCCTTCGTAATACTTATTCATTTTTTTAAAAATAAAAACTGCCTTATAAATTTCTTCTTAAGAGTAGCACAAATGTTAATAAATTAAACTCTTTTAATTTCACAAATACTACTTTCTCTCCAGGAAGTTCGATGAGGGAATATATTTATATGCTAACATATGGAATGCAAGAATAAACCAGAGAATAAAACTTAAAGAAATGTTGACATGCAACTATAGGAAACAGATCTTCCTTTCTGTGGATTTATACCAGGATTGGATGCTTAGCCCTTACTTCTACAACCAACAAAATACCAAGTTCTTTGATGGAGATATGACCGACCCACAATTGATTGATTACACTAAGTGTATAGAAGTAAAAAGAAGGGGCAATGTACTTTCTAATTATCAGGAAATGTTTTGGGGAGGAAGTGGAATTTGAGGTAGATTCTGAGACTTGGATAGGATTTAGTATTGTATAAAGAAGGCAATCTAATACTAGTAGAAACCCAGAGGAGGAAAAGAGTAGTATGGGTTTAGAAGAGAACAAGATTTTTGACTTTATGAAGGGTTTGTGTAAGAGTTTGTGTGGGGGTTGGTATCTAGTACATGGTAGGGGCTTGTTAACTATTTTTTGAATGACTAGATGATTCCCAAATCATAAATTCCCCTTTTCCAAAATTAAATTCCATTCTCTGCTCCCTGCTACAAATGTTCTTTTTGGTCAAAATTTTTTTTTCAACCATGGCTATACATGGCTATCATCTATTCATTAGAGTATCTTGTCAGGTCAGCAAATTTTTATAGTTTAGTTCTTGTTTTTCCATTACAAACTCATGTTAAGACATTATTCTCCACAGTACTAGTTCAGAAACAGCCAATTTTGCCTTTACTTTTGAAGTCTGTTGTTTAGTAAGTTTAAGTTAAATTTCCTGGATCCTTCATTTTCAGAATACAAACGTGAATTAATTTTGAAAAAAAAAAAAGAATACAAACGTGAATTCTGTTAACTGAGGCTACATAAGATGCTCAGTTACCAAGTGTCAGTTTGAACTAATTCTAGATTTTTGGACCATCAGCCCTGTTATCCTTCCTGCATTTCCCATAGATTTTCAGTTGCTTTTTGTATTAGTCTTTTTTTTGGTCAAAACACTGAGTGCCCCGCCCCACCTCCAACGCCCACCACCATGCATACACAAGATGCCAGGAAGGAAGAAGTATGATTCATAGGAAAATGAGAAAAGAATGTCTTGAATATTGGGATGAAATTACTGCT